TAAGAATACGAGAACAGAAAAGAGAGGGCGATAGGAAGGGAATTGCCAACAGATGGGAGACGAGCAGAGATAGAAGAACGAGCGAAACAAGGAGGAAGAGAGATACGAGAAGGAAGAAGATGTAACTAGAGGGAGAAAGAGAGAAACAGGGGCTATTTTTGCACGATCTACTCGCTCCATGAGTAAATATTTGCATGGCGGTTTGAGCGAGTGCATTCTCTCCTTCCTTCTCTGTTTCTTTCTCTCGTTGGTTCTTCTACTTTCTCGTTTCCTTTCTATCCTTTCTATCTTGATAACCGTGGCTCCTTGTCTCGCAAATTTGTCGTACCTCGCTGTAGGACATATGCACGGCGAATTTCAATAGACTTTTCCACTGTGACTGTAATCTAATTTTGGCATCTGATGTTTACTCAGGTAACTATGTATAGTTAACAGATATTGGCGGAGACAACAGCTACTAAGGTAGAAGGCGATAAAATAATTTTGCAACACCACGATTTTGTTTTAGCCAAGATACCAGATTTTCATATAAATTTATTTTTTCCTTCGAAATTTTGTTCGATGTAATAGTAAATACGTTTCCTTATTATGTACTGTTAGTTACTGAGACACGAGACACAATGCGAAATATGATAGTGTGTAGAAAATATTATTCGTAAATATTAGGAGAAACATAAGGTTTTTGGTTGTAGGGATAGAAATGTTTGCAACTGATGGAGAATTGGTGAGTCGATTTGTTGTTCTGTGTCGATTCAGTGAAAATTTGGTCGGATACGTTTTAACCGGTGCATTCATCAGGAAAGATGCGATTGGTGGCATTTAATTAGAGGTAACTTCGTGCCGATGATTTATCGAGTTTTAATTTATCATGTATGAAACGGTTCGTAACTGCTACTATGTAAGTTAAATCACCATGAATATGTATGGAAGAACGAAGTGAAAAAATATAACGAATTTTTTTCTGTTGGACGTTTTTCGCATTTATTATTTATTTTCTAACTAGAGGAATGGAAGGTGAAGAGAAATTATTTTCGCTCGTTAAATATTATACTGTTCTTTATTCGATTATTAATACAATATATAGCATTAATATTACAATATTTTAATTATTTTACTTTATTACGTGCATCTTACAAATATTTGTATCTTCGAATTTTTCATAAATGCATAAACATGTATTAAAATATTTATCGTACCTATTCGAAATCTCCATAATTTGAAAATCTCCAAGACATAAAGAATTCTTCTATACAGAAAATTCTATATTTCTTTTTGTACGATAAATTGTCCAAGTTAATAAAAAAGGAAAATATTATAATCTCTAAACAAAAAAATTATTGTTTCTAGGAAAACTATAAATCTAATTACGGACCACTGATCGTAAATTTGAAATATAAGAGAAAAATTTGGTTCATTAGCGACGTCAACGTTAAATCGATTGTAATAGGAGAATAGCTTGACTATCGTGCTTTATGAAACAAATCGTATCGGCGAATCCGTTCGTTTTTTGAACATGGACCGTTTCAACTTTCGCGACGATCCTTTTTCTTCCGCTTCCGGAACAGCAAGGGCAAACTGGACGTTGGTAGAGCGTGTTTATTCGAGTCGGACTTTTCTTAACTTTGTTCGCTGTAATTAAATCTCGCAATTAGCCGAGCGGGAAAGGAATTTTTCTCCGTGACTGCAAGTCAGAAGACCGTTCGTTAAAAGAAATCGCATTATACCGGAAAGTATCATTCCTTCCTCGTAAATGATGGATGAGTTTATCATTAAATTATATTAGAGAATGGTGAAGAATGGAGCGGATATCAAGCACGTGGATAATAGACAAGGTAGATCCTATTAGGAGCTATCCTGATTGTTTTATCGATTACGTGTCTTCGTTTCATTTAGATTCTATTTTCTTTTCACTTGCGTCGCAATTGCAAACATGTACTCTGTAATGTACGTATATTAATGACATTAATTAGTACCAATAACAATATATTTATTGATAGGAATTTTGGTAAAATATTATGACAACGGCAATCGGTATTATTACGTACCTATTAGATCTCAAATTTATTGGTAAAATTATTGAGAAGGATATTATATTAGCGTTGATTGACAAATGTGTTAATAATAGAGAGAAAATTGTGTTATTAGCTGACTGACAACAGCACAGTGACCTGTAAGTGAATAACGACAGATTGTTCGATTGCAAATGTATTTTATATTTACCGTGAAACGACTGTCAGAGTGGTAGCTAGAACTAAAGCGAGAATCAATAAAAATTGATTCATCGCTTTTTTTTATGTGGCTTTCAAATTAAAGCAGCTGAAAAAGGTATTTGCACACTGTTGTATTTATTATAGCATTTACAAATCACAATTCATTGAGAAATAAAGGTACGTACAATTGCCTTTCGCGGACATCGTATACGAAATAGTCCTTCACCAAAATGTTCTGTTTCCTCCAACATCTGCAAATGGCAGGAATTTCAAAGCGAATGATCTCACCGTAAGACCAAACTTAAAACAAATCTCACCCCCAAATCAGATTTTGCGAAACGCGTTCTTCAAAGAACAACGTTTAATTATACAATAAGATTATCATATCGTAAAGATAAATTGCTGCAGCCGAAGGCTGACGCACTGGAACGAGAAGGTGCCTAAAAACAATCCTCCGACTCTTCCTCAAAGCTATACCTTATCGTTTCAATTATCGAGCCGGCTAGCTACGAAATTAATTACGATGATCCTTCCTTTACCCAGATAGTCCCTGGTATCCTGCCGTCGAACGAGATCTCCACCTCGACCGACGAACTTTATCCGCTGAAATCGCCACGGCAACGTTCAATTTCGTTTCTTAATCTTGGCTAATCGGCTCAGCGTGTTGCGTTCGATGGACGACGCGAAATTCCACCATCCGGGAATCCGAAGGTCTGAAACGTGGCCACGAACACGATCGGGCTTCGACAAGATCGCGAAACGATCCACCGGCAAGCGAAAACGCTCGCACCGATCAGTTTAATCAAACTTTGTAGATTTTCCATTATGTCCGCGACTTGCTCCCTCCAACACCGTAACTAACTCCATTTACCTCGTCTGACCTGCGACTGGCTTAGATGGAAATGCGGATAAATCGCCCAAGCTCCTTCGTAATCGGCTATCGGAAGTTCCAGTCGTTTTATTTCTTATCGTTTTGGTGGATCTCTTGTTCACTTGCATCACCGGATCGCTTAATTGTCAATACGATCGGTCGTGGTTCGGATGATAAAGTGATACGATAGTGGACACGTGAAATGTAGCAAAACAAAATTTAGGTAGTTAGAAGATTGAAATGACTTATTGTAGAGTGCACATGAAATGTTCGAACGTTTCACGGCTTGATTTATGATACATCGCGGATAAGGATAATCCTTCAGATAGCATCGTATTTAACGACCAACATTTTCGATACAAGTTTCAATGACTTTATTCGCGAAAAGTGTAAAATGAATCCTGTTCAATAACATCTTCGTTGAAAGAAAAAACTGAAATGAGAAACGAGTTTATTCAAAACAATTCCATTAGCTAGAAGAGTAAAGTTCTTCAAATATTACGAAATTTGTCATTAACATTGGAATTATCGGTCATTATGTATTCCTAAATATATTATGCGTAGTTAAACAGAATTCAAACAATATGGTGAAAATATAGAAATACATGTAATTATGCTTCGATCTTAATAAAAGTAAGCATTAACATTGTCAAAAACACTTGCCTGTTTTTACTCGTTGTAAAAATGAAAAATTCAATGCCAGTCATTTCCATCGATTTTGCGATTCTAATATTAAATTAATGATTATTTATGCCATTTTCTTGTGATAAGTAACCATAAGTACGAGTAATTTGTTTTCGGAAAGATGCACACTGATATTTCCACTCTCTTTAACTTTAATCTCCAAAAATGCTGTTTCACAATTTCAAACATTCCACGTTCAATTACCGAATACGTACATATATACACCATCATTTATAATTATTCGACCGATTTTTAAAGACGAATAACGTTGCTCGAATAATTTAAATTTCAACCAGCTACAATTTTTACCTCACGAAACATTGTTCATTGTTCCAATGAAGAATCATATGGGTTAACAACGATAAGGAACTCTTATTTAATTTTTACAGTAGAAACGAGCCAAAGCACAAAGATTGTACCTATCGTACGAATGAACGTGAACGATACTATATATACAGGGTGGTTGGTAACTGGCGGTACAAGCGGAAAGGGGGTGATTCTACGCGAAAAAAGAAGTCGAAAATATAGAATAAAACTTTTTTTTTTTAATTTTCCATCGAGACAACGATCTACAGTGAGATCCGTTATAACGAGACGCGATAAAGTGCACGCGTACCGAGCGAAAATTCAAAGTCAATTTTCTCAAAAACAAAGCCTCAAACGACAAATTTTTATTCTATATTTTCGACTTCTTTTTTCGCGTAGAATCACCCCCTTTCCGCTTGTACCGCCAGTTACCAACCACCCTGTATATATAGTATCGTTCACGTTCATTCGTACGATAGGTACAATCTTTGTGCTTTGGCTCGTTTCTACTGTAAAAATTAAATAAGAGTTCCTTATCGTTGTTAACCCATATGATTCTTCATTGGAACAATGAACAATGTTTCGTGAGGTAAAAATTGTAGCTGGTTGAAATTTAAATTATTCGAGCAACGTTATTCGTCTTTAAAAATCGGTCGAATAATTATAAATGATGGTGTATATATGTACGTATTCGGTAATTGAACGTGGAATGTTTGAAATTGTGAAACAGCATTTTTGGAGATTAAAGTTAAAGAGAGTGGAAATATCAGTGTGCATCTTTCCGAAAACAAATTACTCGTACTTATGGTTACTTATCACAAGAAAATGGCATAAATAATCATTAATTTAATATTAGAATCGCAAAATCGATGGAAATGACTGGCATTGAATTTTTCATTTTTACAACGAGTAAAAACAGGCAAGTGTTTTTGACAATGTTAATGCTTACTTTTATTAAGATCGAAGCATAATTACATGTATTTCTATATTTTCACCATATTGTTTGAATTCTGTTTAACTACGCATAATATATTTAGGAATACATAATGACCGATAATTCCAATGTTAATGACAAATTTCGTAATATTTGAAGAACTTTACTCTTCTAGCTAATGGAATTGTTTTGAATAAACTCGTTTCTCATTTCAGTTTTTTCTTTCAACGAAGATGTTATTGAACAGGATTCATTTTACACTTTTCGCGAATAAAGTCATTGAAACTTGTATCGAAAATGTTGGTCGTTAAATACGATGCTATCTGAAGGATTATCCTTATCCGCGATGTATCATAAATCAAGCCGTGAAACGTTCGAACATTTCCCAAAAGATGGACCATAAATCCAGAGACGCCGAGCCATCGATTAGGTGCTTCGTTTCAGGTTGAATAAATTAGAGATAAGCGATGATCAGAGGTATAACGGACATCTATTCGGCTGGTCGAATGCTATTTACCATAAACTTTGGTTTTGCAGGAGGACAAGGACCTGGTGCACGAGTTTGTACAAAATGATGGGCTTGCTTGCCTCATCAAGGTTGGCAGCGAGGCCGACCAGAATTATCAAAATTATATACTACGAGGTGAGTATACTGACAATTTGTCGATAGACCTGCAACGTGTTTTTGTGCACAGCGAGGCTTAGGCTTCTAATAGCGTATGAAGGTTCCTCCGTGTATCATCCAGGCTATACTTTTCGCGGGAATTCGAGTCGACTACAACCATAAATATTTACGATGCAAAAAATCAGATTTTTTACGAATTCTTCTAAGCCCGCCGTATCTTACCTTTGATCAGACTGAAGCTTTCTTTTTCTTCTCTTTTTTTTCTCTTTTTGTTAAATTAGATGTACCGAGAAAGTTTTGTGTTCTATTTTTCCGTAATGATTTGCCCCATGAAACAAAGACACGAGTTATTTTAACATTTGAATTATTTGAGATATTTGAAATTGTTAGACATTGTTCACATAGAAGATGAATCAATATGCACATGTTTGTATCATCAATGATTTCTTTGTAAGAGGAGCTAGTGAACTAAGAGACGAACATTTTGACGATCTAACAATTCATTATAGCAAGCTGAATCTCAGACGCGACCAGGTCTCGACATTTCTCGCTAAACACGAGAACATGGTAGGTCTGCGACGCATCCGTAAACAGTGATAAGATAATACCTGGGTAATGCAACTAACACTTAACGAGCTAACATCAACGGATTCGCGAAACCGAGCCCCAAGCGAGCGACAACATCGCTTTCTCTCGTTTTCCTCTTCTCGCCTTAGAACATTCTGTCGAAAGACGCGCATTTTCGCGTAATACGTGTCGTGGTTTGAGGAGTAAGCTGTAGTATTAGCTCGAATTTAGACTCAGAGACAGTTTCCTTGATGTTAAAATTCAATTCATTTTTGCATTTGCATTTGGTAATTACACTTTAACGCATATGTGTACGCGTGAACGATAAAGTTAGTCGTTGGGGAAATTAATTACTAACGAAAGCAAAGGAAAGCAGACTAATTTAGTTTTCTAAGAAAATGCGTATTTAATTCTAGAATCAAGTAGAGGTTCAGTTTTCCATTAAGGTAAGCATATGTCCTATAACAAGGATCAATTATAGTCCTTATATTATCCAAAATGTTTCTGATCACTTGTTTCTATCATTGTTAATACTCGTTGAATCCACATACTTCAACGTGAATTTGTACCAACGAAAAATCATACGTATTAGGTTGTCCGAAAAGTGTCTTTCTTTTACAGACACGTCTTTATACAAACATGAAACCTAATCTGTCGAACGTTGTAATCTTTATCTTGATAATACAAAATGGATCATACGTAATTTGATAAAATAATATAAAACGAAAAATGTTGTGTATCCATTATTTCCCTATAAAACGAAAGAAACTTTTCGGACGACCTAATAAAAGAGAGAATCTATTTACATCTATTATTTGCGCCTATTACATGAACTTCGCTATATAGTTTCCACCAAGTACGTCGTAACTGAGTGATAAAAACTCCATAATACTCCATAATAAGTGATAAATATAGTCAGATAGCTCCGACAATGGACGTCCACACGCGAAATTGCGCTGTTAACGTAGACTGTTTACAAAAGCATCTGCGCACGGATTCGTCTGCAAAACCGCGACGCGTAGCAGATTATGAATGCACCCTTTGATCGTGTTTCGAGTGGTTCGCCGCGGCGCAGGCCGGCTCGAGTGCTTCGTAAACCTTCGCTTCGGGCGAACAACACCGCGAGAAGACCAATTCCGCGTCAGCTGGCTGCTCGGAACGGAACGCAGTCCACTTGTGCCCTTCTCGCTCTTTTCCCGGCTCCGATAACGAACCAAAGTCGCCTCTCGTCTTCGATTACCGCGGGACTTGTCGAGTGCATTGTATACCGAACGAGTCCTCCGGGAGTCCTCGAGAGACCTTCCACAAGAAACTGAAACTCGTGCTATCCGGAGATACTGCTCGCACGGGAGGGATGATTCTTCTTCGTCTCCGTAAGCTGTTTCTTTTTGAAGGGGAAAACTGTAGTCTGATTCGATTCCGGGAAATCAGTAGAAACTGTGTTGCAAGTGATTTTCTAACGTTTAGCTCGATGATCGAAATAAAAGTACGCTTGTTAAGCGCAACGATATTACGTCGATTCCTACTAATGAACGTAGTACTTTTATGAAAATGAAATCTCTCAGAAGAACCTTGTTTATTATTATCGTTGTGTGCCGAATAAGAGAATACATCGTAGCAAGTTTGTACGAGAATCAGTGAATTGTTTCCAAAAACTGAAAATCTAGTGTGCTGTGTCTAGTTTGCTATGCTGTGTACTTGGTGCATAGATATACAGGTACAAAGTACAATAGCATCGTAGAGAAAGGAAAGAGCTATGAACGGACACTTTTACCGTATTAGAAAACTGAAACACCGTTCTAGAAGTCGAAGTTCTATGTTCTTTTATCTCTCACAAACATCGACGCAATTATTCCTGGCCCTCTGTGCAATTCTCCTTTAATTTACGTTGTTCCTTATACCACTTCGCAATTATTCCATATTTATCAACAGACGTCTGTCCTTTTATTTTATTCTTTTCTACCGATTAACCGTGGTAGCGTCCTTATAGACGACTTCCTTCCTTCGAAGCGAGTTAAATTAGGTTCGCAGCGATCCTTTTACGACTGTTTTCAAGAAGAAGGAACACGGTGGAAGAGAGAAAGGGGGACAAAGTGGCTCGGTAGTTGTTCGGCCGGGTCAATTAAGATTAAACGAGTATCGAGCAACAGAGGGCGCCCGGATAAGTAGCAGGAGTGGCAGATAAAGTAATTCATAAAACAATTTGGCAGTTAGGTTTATCACGCGCGTAAATCAGGCCTTGGTTTCACCCGTGTCTCTGACGCTTAGAGGAAGCCACTTGGGAGGGCAATGTTACCTGTCTAATTTAAAGGGTGGGGGCCTCATTGCGTGTTCCTTATCTCTTGGTAAACAGGAAATTTATTACGAGCAGGCTTGAACGAACATCCAATCTTCTAATCCACGATGCTCGTGGAACGCGAGCACTATGTCGGCATCTCGGCGTGTCAGTCTTGGTTGATTACAGCGACGCTTCGCCACGCTATTGGCTCGTTAAAGTGCCGACTCTCTGACAGTTTCGGTTTGCTCGGGAACGTTCCAATGGTAACTTTGATAAGATGCTCGCTCAACTCAGGTATAACAGATAGCAAGCTCTACTCATATGTGGAATGGATATCTGTGTTAGTCAGTTTTGAAGTCTTCCATTCAGGTCACTGATGACCCTTAACTTATTCATCGCAAAGATCAGCTAAATCTTCATTCAGTTGGATTATTTCTGAGATATAAATATTTCTTCCTTTACGGGTCTTCTGTCTTTTAACTTGGGATTTAGGTTATAGTAAATCATCGTGACTTTTGTCAAATACAAGTATATTTAGTATTCTTGTGAGAGATAGTAATTGCGTAAGTGAGTAATGATAAACTGCTTTGAAAATTATTTGCAGCGTATTAAGGACAATTAACTGAGATAATAAGTACGCAATTAAGGACGCAAATGATTACTACATCTAAATAAAGTACCTGTCGCTATAGAAAATTACCGTTAATTATTAAATAGTTGTTCTCAACGTAGAAACTGATGTCTAAAAGAATTAATACCTGAGCGTTGTAAAGAGTAATAATAAATATGGTAACTTCATAGCCTCAAACGGAAACGTTTGTGAAATTTCATAATTTATCGTATTAGGATTATTAAAGAATATCTTTACGACCAACTTAATACTCAACAAAGCGCGAAAAGCAATTATTATATCGTTTATCATAAATTATAAATTATAGTTCAGTAATTTATATCATTTCATATATCATATCTTTATATCTTTATATTATATTTATATCATATCTTTCTCAGATTTTAGTTTAAAAATATCAAATATTTTAGAAGATTCCACCGCATGAAAGTCAAATCTAATAAATAAGCAAGAAACCAGAATTAATAAACCAACGTTAGTTAATTTCGATATTAAAACGCTTCGATCAATACAAACGTAAAATTATACATACCTTCAAAGGATATTCACATGTTCAAAGAATTTTACGTTCGTAGGGTGACATGCCCTTAGCCAACACATATTTCTGTCATCTAAATGCGGCAACAGAGATTGTTAATAATTACAACTTTTATTTCAAACAGGAGAAATTCGTTGTACGCATATAAATTCAGAATAATAGAACAAGTAGATCGTTTATAACGTAGTCAGCCAAAGCGTATCAAATCTTTTGGAATAAAATCTTTTTTGCGAGCCTTCGTCTGAGCAGTAATTCCCTACTGAAATTCACTGAATTCCGTCAAGAGGAGCTTGAAAATGTAGAATTTTGCGACGATCGTTGCTTTAAATCACAGCCGCGCGTTCTCACAGCGACAGCAGCATATAAATCAAAAGACATGTTCGCGATAAAACGAAAATAGGAATTCATCGAACCGATCGACGCGATGAACGTAAAATCCCGTGACTCCATGGCACATTTGCATATCTGCATTCGCATGGCGTTCCCGATATCGATCACTTTGATATTTGGAAGCAGATGAAGTATCCAAACTTGAAGGAACCAAGATTCTAGAACTGTGATTTTGGCTCAAATTGTTATTGTCTATTGTGTACTAAATATCTGTTTTGCAATCATTCTCAATGAATAGCTGTAAAAAATCGAAGAAAATTTAATTTCTAATAACGAACAAAATTCTTTAGTAGAAAACGAAAAGATTACTGGAAGTAATTGTTTTTTTTTTAGCATAACACGAAAGAAAAATTAATGGCCAAAAGTAGTATCCGTTATCTTCTTATAGAATGTCATCTTTTACAAAATATTTTATTATAAATTATATCCGAAAAGTATGCCTCAATTTGTTTTAGTCTTACAGAGACCAATGTTTCATCGCGTGTCTATAACAAAATCAATTTCGTCGTATCATAGTAATGATATGGTACACGCTCTAATTATATAATTGTTACTCGCAACTCTATAATTAAATTATATTCTGTCAAAAATAAGCAAGCGTTTCTCAGTGTTTCATATACCTTTTAAAGCATTCTATCTACTGCAATTTAGTTTTCGTCTGTAGCAGTATTTAATTGCTCGTATTTAAATGAAAAGATAATCCGCACGAAGAACACCATGTAAAGTAAATTACTCGGAGATAAGCGAAATTTCAGAAGTACTTGTTTTCACGTTCGCTCGAAACGTTCATTATAAATAATTATTACGGTAAACGGAGTTAAATGATAAAATGTTAAACGCATTTTATTCCGTATTATTTCGTATACAAATTCACTGGAACCATTATAATTTGTAACCACATAATACAATCTCCCCCGCGTTTCGTTCTCTCAACTGCTCGTTACACGTTCATCTAACCTTATCGCAATCTAATAAATTCTACCGCTAAGTGCAATTTCAGTCAAAGTAACTTAATATACGCTACATCCTCCGTACCATACATCGCTGGTACCCGGCCACTTGTTATCCTTCGTTACTTTATATAAATCGCGATAAAGAGATTCCTTTAAATGTCAGCGAAACAAGATTTCTCTTGCATAGACTTTAAAGTTCTGAACACCCCGTGATGGATGTTTTTATTGTAATTATATAAAGAATACAAAACGTTCGTTAAAATGAAAATCTCTGTAGCTGTTATTTGAACGACAAAAGAAAGCCGAGTATGGAATGAAACTGTATATGAAAATATTTGTGAAACTGTATTTAAAACTGTAAGGCTGTCGCAGAGCGTGGATGAATCGGCAGACAGCGGTTTTCGAAGTGACGCGGTTCCTACGTTTTTCCGCATCTTCAAGCCTGCGATGTACTGGTGCAGGTTAGCGAGGAAGAAACTTACGTACACTTACATACCAAAGATATTGCGTGTATATGTGCACGCTATCGATGGAATTGCAACACCGCATAATGCGTAACATTCACCTACTTTTCTGCCAGGGAACAGATTTTTATCGATCCCCTTGTTTGATTCGAGAGATGCGTCCGCGACAGGAGAAACCAAGTTTC